AAAATAATAATAACCTGTAAATAAATAATTACCTGTACCTTTTCATCAATCTCCTTTTTGCTCCCCATTCTATCCCTTTTGCCCCTTTCTTCTACCCTACAATTGCTCCTTCCCTAAACTTCACCAAACTGACTTTTGATGTCTGACCACCCTCCAGTCATTCTCATATATTAATCTTCTAAATATCTAACTTATATCATGTAATTTTTCTTCAAGGAAGCCTTTTTTCCTTTTAAATAAACTCTATATTCCTTAATGAGACATTTATTACACTTTACTCTCTGACTTATCTTTCCAGTTTTTCTTCATTTCCACTTCTTTATACACAAATTTTTGCCCCAATTGAGCAGAAGGACTTAATATCATAAAAATATGCCTTTCAATGAGCCAACTTGGCTTGTTTCACAGCTATTTCTGTTCCTATTTTATCCTTTTTATTTTGCTGTAAGTCCTTGAATGTAAGAATTATGTTTATTCATTTTGACATTCCCTGAAATGCCCAGCATAACATTTCCCATGAGTTATTTAAATAAAGTGTTGATGATCCTCTATCTACATCCAGTCTATGTTCTTCTCCAAACAAAGTATGAGCACCAAGAATAGGAAATATGACTCTTAAGAATCCTATATTTCCTATTTCTTAACCCTCTGTTTGTAGGAAATTTATTTGATTCCCTACAGTCCAGTTGTCTTACCTGAAAAATATAGATAATGGTGTCACCTCCATCAGATTGGTCTGGAAATTAAAAGAGGAATTAAATTAAATGTTCTTAAAAGAGCACCTGCCACATAGCAAGCACACTGTTAGCTGCTATTATTATATCAAAGCCTCAAATTTTGATCCTGATTTGTTGATTTGATATTATTCATCCAATTTTGCCCATACTATTAGGAATTTTTATTTACTTAGCCAACTGAAAAGACAACTATATTATTTTATGTCACCCAATCTAGTATATGGATACCATGATTCATAAGTGACCTGGTGGTGGATAAATGACATATCCCAGTCTCTAAAACAATATTTGGCTATGTGGACTATTTTCCTCCTCTAAACAAAAATCTTCATCTGCATGTTTACATTATAAGTAAATGTGCATGAATTTAATTTCCATACATTTTAATGAGCATATTTTACTGAGAAACAAGAAGCCTGTCTTTCTAGTTTTATTTTATCATTGACCTTGTGACACTTCTCCACACTTTAGTTCTCAAATCTGTAAAATAGAGATGCAGTTGAGGTTTAAGATCTCACTCAACTCAATAAGCTAATGATTCTATCAAAAAAAATAGCATCTGATTTTAAGGAATAAAACCTAGCACGATGGGTAGGATGATGGGGTAGAGTAGAAGGTTCAGGATGATGAGAATAGGTACACAATGCTGCTGCTTTCTGATTAAGGAACAACCAAAATATGAGCTTCCTGAGGGCAGGAACCACATACTACATTTTGAATTACCCACAGTGTTTACATGATGCATTAAACAAAGTAGGTATTCACTAAACATTTATTAAATCACTTATCAGTAGTATCTGTAAAGGTCAGAGTCCCACACTCAAGAGCCAAATCTATGCCTATGTCAGCAATCCTAGCCCTTTCAATTTACTATTGGGTGACACTGGTTAGGTTAATTTCTCTCTGTTTAAATTTATGTGGGAGATGAGAATTAAAAATGATAGTGCCATATCCTGGTTTTGTTGTGAAGATTAAGTAAGTTAATATGAACAAAATCCTCAGAACAGTGTCTAATACTTAGTAAATTTTACTATTATTAATGTTACTCTATGCTTATTTATATAAGATATTAGCTTAAAAAGCCATTGGAAGTACACGGATAAAATTTTAAGTGTATTTTATTTCTTTTATATATATGTCATGGAAGATAGATTTTCGCATAATAAAACTTGCCTGAAATGTGAGATGGAGATGAAATCACCCATTATTTTATTATTAAGAATGAGAGTTTGTTGGACTTATTTCTTAAAGTTTTTTTTTTCAGTCCTTTAGAGAGATGATGTTATGATAAACTATTCTAAGAATAACAATCATCTGATACATATTCTTATAACTGAGAAAGTTGTTAGTATTATAGGAGAATGTTAGAAGTTTTAACCAAAGTTTGCAACTCCAACTTGTAACATGAAATCTTAAGTAGCATGGAGACTGCTCCTGAGCAGCTGTATAGTGTGTATGTAAGTTTGATTATTTTTTAATATCTTGTTGTTGTTGAGATGGGGTCTTGCTATGTTTCCCAGGTTGGTTGCAAACTCCTGGGCTCAAGTGATTCTTCCCTCTCAGCTTCTTGAGTAGCTGGTACTACAGGAATGCATCACTGTACCTGGTTCTAAGTTTGATCATTTTAAAATCAAAAACTACTACTAAAGAAGTAACTGTTAGTTAACAAAGTCTTGGTGTGTTGAACCTGAGGATTTTTTGTTTTTGTTTTTGTTGTTTTTTTTTTTTTTAAGTGAAAAAAGTTGCTATGTAAAGGAAATCAGTCCCAGAAACTAACTAGCAAGGTGCCCTCAATTTCTGGGGAAGGTATCCCAGCCGATGCCCCTCTTAATTATGCAAATGTAGGGCAAATGGTCACCTATTTTCCATGGTGAAGGTTGACCAGACTACTGCCTGGCTTGACAATGGCCATCCTTCTCCAGAATTCCTTTGTGTAGAGTCAGGTATATTGGACCTCACTTCTCTTCCATTTTGAGGTTTGACATAATTAAAACCTCTCTAGATGGAAGTCAGCTGTCAGGAAAAGAATGTCAAAGGCCTCCAAAGGGGAACTTGCCCTTAGAGATCAAGAATAGAGACATGATGGTGTGGACACAATACCAGGAAGCAGATTTTGCCCTGTCACAGAGCATAGCTGAGGCTGGACCCTGTCTCCTCCTTGCCCCTCACCAACCACTCTCGCACAGCACATGTTCTTTGGTATTGGAAGCACGGACTGCAGATGTGACTGCAGCTTGAAAAACTGCTCTTTTGAGAACTTAAGAGTGAAGACTCATTATTAAATCAAAATTCTTGAGACCAAAAGATCTCTGAAAAAAAAATTTATTGAGCCATTACATAGCTACTAGTCAGAAAGAAAAGATCAGTCTTAAGATTAAGTGCCTTGAGCTACTACCAACAAGGCTAGATAGCAGCCGGGAAAATGTTTACCAGATCTAAATAGTGGGAATGTTGTATAATAAAATATAGGGGCAAAGAAAGTATAAATTACTTACAATGAACCTACATTGATCATAGATAAGAGGATGGGACAAAGCAAAGCAGGCAAAGTTTTGGAATAGGAGGATAGTGTTTAAGGAGTTAGTGTTGCTCCCTGATTGGTTGGCACTATAAGCAGAATGTGATGGCACCTGGAAGTTAGACCTTAGAGTTATCAGTCTTTGTTTAGAAGTGTGGAGCAATTTTTGTTTTCTTGTTTGTTTTTCTTTTTCTTTCTTTCTTTCTTTCTTTTTTTTTTTTTTAACATCTCAGAATTTTCCTCCTGTCATGTACTGAGGTCTTTGCTGCCACTTGAACTATATTCACAGTACACAATAAAGATGATTTGGCTGTGTGGGACCAGTTTGTAACAGGGCCACAAACGAATCTGAACGCTAGACTCCCTAGCCCTGGAACATTCATTACTTCACTTTCAGAAGGAATTTGGAAGCAGAATGGCCTTTCTAGAAAGAAAAAACTGAGTTACCTGAGAACAACTCAATTGTGAAGTAGCAGCCAAGGCCTCTAGAAAAAAAACTGGACTTTTGCTCATCTGGCATAGGAAGCATGAAATGGTTTTAATTTGAAGGAGAAAGATATTGATCCTTCATCTTACTTTGAATTGCTTATACCGATTTTAGAGGCTCTGCCAAATTGGTGGGACAATGTTTGTTTAAAAAAGGTTCAAAGATGACTCTGATGATATTTCTGCACATGCCTGGAAAATTTTATGTAGTTACGAATCAATACTTGTCATATATATTAGGCAAGATTTTAATTTTAACTTGACAATGGAGAACCAAATTTTTTTTTCCTAGTTTCTGAAGGTGTTTTTAAAATCAAAAAGCCCAAATCATCATTTCATATACAAATAGAGGTATTCAAATCAGGTTCCTAAGGTATCCTCTTCAGAAGAACAAAGACAAGTCTCTGGCTCTTCACAAGCTTTGAGAATTGAATCCACCATTCACATCATTCTTTGAGAACTGTTTTCCACTGGCGATAACATTCTTTTGATTAAACTAAGGGAAACAATCACTTCACAAGCAAGGAGCCAGACAATTCACTTCTCTGGTCCTGATGTAGTTAGGATGATTTCTATCTTTGCAACACTTTTTGCATCATAGTGATATACATAAAAAATGGTACTAAATTTGTTATTTCAAGAGGAGGAAGCATTTCAAAGGCCATAGATTAGCCGTGGACCTCACTGTGTTGTATATATTCCTTCATGGTGGACTTTGGAGTCAGTGTGTTCCCGTCTCTCTGTGTGACCAGAGGACAAATCACCTAACAACGCTAACCTTCATTTGTATGATGAAGCAAATTATGAAACTGCTTATGAAACTGTTTTAAAATTTATTAAACACCACATACAAAACCACAACTGCCCGAAGCTTGGTAAGTCCTCAACAAATGGTATCTAAATGAATTATTGAGAACAGGGGCGAAGTTGGTTGTGGTAATCAGTTATTTAAAAAAAAAAACAAAAGAAATCTACCCAGCACAGGGTTAGCAAATAAGAGCTGCACAATGGGAATCACAGCTCCTATTTATGTTTGGCCAAAGTAGTACGAAATAAATGAGAGGAGAAATAAATGGAAGTGGGAAAATGTGAACGAATAGAAGACGAAAAGGATGAGTGGGAAGCAAAGAAAAAAGGGGTTTTCAGGGAAAAAAAAGGGCAAGCAGGATAGTTAGAAGAGGCCAGATCCGTCGCTCCCAGGCTGGCCTCCCGGGGGCGTAGTTAGAGGCAAAGCTGCAGCGACAGGGCGGGGCATCAAGGAGACCACGCCCCCATGGGCAGGCCTTATGAAGGCGGGACTTCCTGTCGTGGGCAGCCACTCCACATCCGGAAGACTTGAGCCGCGTCCAAGGTAGCTGGCTGCTGAGAGAGAAGATCGCCCTACCACCTTCCGAGGTGAGACCTCTTTTGTTCCGGGTTGGGTGGGCGCTGAGGGCTGGGAGGACTCGGAGCGGCCTCTCTCTCACGGCCTCCGGCGCGGGCTCGGCGCCCCGGGCAAAGGCCGCAGCTGAGGCCACCTCTTTGCTGCACCGTTATCCCGGGCCGCCTCTGAGTGAAAGCAGAAACAGCCACACCATTAGTGAAGTGGCTTTGACTGCGCAATCTTACTTAATCCTCGAGGCACTTTATGTAGGGTAATTGCTCAGTTCGCATTTTCACGGACTTCAAAGGAGCTCCCAGACCTGGCACATTGCCAGGGTCGTATCGTCAGAGTGTAAGTGAGGGGGGCTTGGCCACAGCTCCTGTGCTGTTCAGGGTCGCGCTACTGGGGACAGGTGGCAGTAAATTGGTGTGACTTCCACCCCGGCAAGTCTGATCAGAAACAGAGACGGTTGGAAACGTTTCAGGTATATATGGCTTTGGGAAAGTGAAGGGTCATAAAATCCAGCCCTTGTGAAACCAGTATTCTTGAGACCGAGAGATCTCCGAAACAAAAGGATTTATTGAGCCATTTATAGTTGCTCACCGGAAAAAGGACCAGGACCTGGGAAAAGTTTCTTAAAATTACCAGCAACGAGGCTAGGTTGGAAAAAAACTTCTCTGGGACCTAGAGTTAAGAGAATTTTTAGATGTTGGTTTCACACACATCCCCAAACCGTTTACTAATTAACTGTAATTATCTCTTCTCCTTTCTGGCTCTTGTAATAAATTTTAGGTCATCTCAGAATTTCCCTTAGCATCAAGAAATGTACTCAAACTGGTTGAGAAGATACAGTATGCATACAAATGTAAGGAAGACATTGTTGAGTGCCCTAAAAATGATATCCAAAGTTTTGTGGGTTCTTCCAGGCCAAGGCTCCAGGATTCTCATTAAGATTCAGAACCTCAGTTGCTGCTTACTCAAACGACTTACATATTTATATCTTCAGGGCATACTTCTCTGAGCTCAGGGTTTAACTAGCTAATTGTCATTGTCACTGGATTTCACAGAAGTGCTTCTGCCACACTAATTAAACTCTTAATCTTCTGGTCTCCTAACTCCTGAACTTGACTCTTCTGTTGCTTCCCTTTTCAGTAGGTGTCATCATTATCTATTCAGTTGCCAGAGTGAAAAGTGGACATTTTTCAGCTCTTCTGTCCTCACACTCCATGTCTGATCTGTTACCAAGTCTCCCTAGTTTTATTCCACAAAGCAGATCTTGACTCTTGAGTTTCTCTGCCTGTAAAACTTCTCTCCCTAGGTTTAAGCCAACCATTGGGTCTCCTCTGGACTCTTGCATCCTGAAGCTAAAAGTCTTAACATGTTTGTACACATTCATTCTTTGCTTTTCCCTTTACCACCCAATTCATTCTGTTTAGTAGCCACATTGAAATGATTCTTCATGGCTGTCATATTAAGTAAGGAGTGATTCTACTGCCTCCCTTAGCTTTATCTCTTCCTATTTTCTTGGGTCTCTGAGCTATCATGTTTGGGTGCATGTTTCATGCATCAAGAGACCTGAGTTGAGTTAGTTGATGCCTATTCACTTGGCTTTTATATCTTAATTTAATCATATCCTCAGGGAAGCCTTATTGGATACCTAAGTTCAGTCAAAGCCCCCCTGTTATATGCTTCTCATTGTATTTCTTCTGCTTAGCTTGTATAATATTTATGATTTTTCATGTAGTCTGTGATTTTTTTAAATTGACATTGACTCCCCATTAGAAAGTAAATGAATGGGACCTGGTTTTACTCACCATAGTGTGTATACAGCATATAATAGGTATTCATCAATTGTTTGTGGAATGATTAAACAACTTCTGGGTGGAGAATTCCTAAAAGAAAAGGTAGCGTTTTGAAGTGAGCCTTGAGGAATTGAATAAGAATTAGATTTTACCAGAGTCCAAGGCCAGAGACTTATTTCTGGGGATTCAGCCAATCAGATGTAACCAGTGTTTAGTCCTGTCTTCTTGGGGCTAACTTTGAGGTTTTATAGAAAGGGGAATGAGGGCAGGGGTTGGGGATTTGCGTAGCTGGAGCCTTTTCACAGCTGCCAAAGGAATTGTGGTCTAGTCCACCACCACATCAAGTTTGATCAGGGAGGGCTTTGTGCCTTCATCTTCTCACAAGGTGTTTATTGATCTGAACTTCTTCCTGGAATCCTAGGTGACTCATCCTAAAAGATGGATACAAAATGGAGGCAGAGATTCCAACTATTTAATCCTGTTTTTAGCAACCCATACAGCATTTGCAGACAAAAGTGAAGAATCTGAGCTCTTGATACAATATTAGTGCAATCAGAAGGTGAAGTGGGAGACTTGAGCAAAGTAATGGGAGGAAGCAGACACACACAGCCCAAGGATTCTACTTCTGATGAGAAAAGAGAGTGGGAGGGGGAGTGGAATAAAGTTTGGATACTATTCTTGAAGACTTCTAAGCAGTTACTTATATAACTCAAAAAGTGACCTCCTTTTAAAAATTCTTTAAATGTTTATCTCAGGAAGAAAAAACAACCAGCAGAAGCCCTATATGTCCCTTGCCTTCCCCTGTTCTTGTTACATTTCTCCTGTAATGTAAGCAATATAATATGGATTTCTGAGTAGTATTCAAGATGAAACTAAGTCTGTTCTCAATTTTAAAAGAGGAAAAATTTAAAATTGCTCATAAAGAGTGCCAGATTTTCTGAGTATGTCAGCTTAAAATGCTTCTCTGTGCTAGGCAGAACACTTGACCACTTTGGAGTGTGGTCAAGCAGTAGTGAATCTTCAGAAGTCAGTGGAAAGTTGGACAGGTCACAATACAAAACTATGTGATTTTTTTTTCTCTTTGTAAAACTCAGGGAAATAAATTTAATTTTTTTAATTATAATTTTAGTCCTGGAATCTTCTCTCAGAATCCAAATAGAGAAGTAGACTTTAAAATCAGAATTGAAATCAATTTCTGTCTTTATCATCTTTCTATATAGTCTTAAGAATTATTTCTCACCTCTGAACCTTAAATTTTTTATCTTTACAAAAACCTTATTTTAAAAAATTGTTGTTTTAAGCACCTGTCTGGCTTTTGTTAGTACGTGTGCCTTTTGTTCCTTATTTTCAAAGCTTCTTTTATTTAAGTATTTTCTTTTTTTTCTTATTTTTGTTCTCCACCCAACCATATACCTCTCTTTTTCATTCTCCAAACCAGTAGGTTTTTTAAGGTTTTTGTTTGTTTTGTTTTTTTAATCTAATATGGTATGGACACCTAGGGAGATGATATCATAGTCTGTTTTTTGTGATAAAAATGTTTCTATAATAGATGTGAAGTGTTAGATAAAAAATGATTTTTACTGGACCTACAGGTAAATTTTTGGCAAAAAATGAACTTTAAAATAGGGAAGGGGGTGAATCTTGGAATGAAAATCTTCTGCTAATTGAGATGCTTTTGTAAACTAACTGTTATATGATTAAAACTATCAGAGATTAGTAACTACTATGTCCTTCTATGTGTTAGATATAATCAGAAGATGGCTGATCCGTGGCAGGAATGCATGGATTATGCAGTAACCCTAGCAAGACAAGCTGGAGAGGTACAAATTAAAATTTTGTCCACCAAAATGAGATATAGTAGAGCATGATTGCCTTGTTAGATAAAACATGTATTTTGATTATTTTACATTTGCTTTCATTTTAATGAACTCTTTTAAATAGAGAGACTATTTCAGTTTATATCATTAAACATTCTGTGATGACAGTTATGAATCTAAAATAGGAGGTAAGGTTATATAAGTTTGTGCTGAGAAGGTCATAGCCATTAAAGAGTTATTTTATAACAATTTTTGTAAGTGAATGTTTTAAATCCTATTTCAGTATTTTATCTTTTTGTTTGATTTAAAATTACTTATGACTTTTCTGTTTGCTTACCAAAAAATCTTTTTAGGTGATCTGTGAAGCTCTAAAATGTGAAATGAATGTTATGATTAAAAGTTCTCCGGCTGATTTGGTAACTGCTACAGACCAAAAAGTTGAAAAAATGCTTATCTCTTCCATAAAGGAAAAGTATCCATCTCACAGGTATTTCTTATATCAATTTCCAATGATAATAAGAAGCCTAGGTTGGAGTTAATATATTAGACAAAAATTTTAATTCTAGACACAGAACCTGACTTTAGTTAATTTAATCTGAAAAGGAATTTATTTTGAGGGTTTTGGGCAGCTCAGGCCAGGACTGTGGAGAGGGAAGAAGGCATACTTACAGATAATACAGCAACCATTGTTTAGGGTATCTCTGGCCTTACCCTTGACTGATGGTTTTGAATACTTTCTACCCAGTCTTATGTCTTTTTTTTTTTTTTACTGGTTGTTCAAAACCTTACAAAGCTCTTGACATATCATATTTCAAACATTAGTTTCAAGTGAGTTATGAACTCCCATTTTTACCCCAAATACAGATTGCAGAAACACATCGGTTACACATTCACATTTTTACATAGTGCCAAACTAGTGACTGTTGTATTCTGCTACCTTTCTTATCCTCTACTATCCCCCTCCCCTCCATCTTCTCTTTCTATCCCATCTACTGTAATTCATTTCTCTCCTTGTTTTTTCTTCCAATTCCCCTCACAACCTCTTTTATGTTTTTTTATAACAATGAGGGTCTCTTTCCATTTCCATGCAATTCCCCTTTTCTCTCTCTTTCCCTCCCAGAAGCTAGCCAATCCCTAAAAAACAAATACCAAATGTCTTCTTTGATATAATGGGAGCAACTAAGAATAGAGCAGGGAGGAAGAGCAGGAAGAAAAGATTGACATTAAACAGTCTTATGTCTTTACCTCATTGGTTTAAGATTACAAATTCTGGGCAGCAGCATGTGATTATTAAGCTTAGGTTGTTTGTGCTCTAAGTGCCAGAGATCAGGGAAAAGGGAAGAAAATTTGGATTCTTTCATAAAAAGAGGAACATTTGAATGTTAGGAGGCAAAAATCTGCTATAGGCATGATTTTAAAGCTCAGTTATGTTTTCTATATTGTAAACTTCTTTATATGTTACAGTAGTGGTAGCTTGTGGGAGCTTAAAAGAAAATCCTAAAATCAGGGCTCTCAGGTACAGAAATATAGTAGAGACATTTTCATCATTTTTAAGTTATAGCACTGTACTTACTTTAAAGTCCACTGTGCTTCTGTACTTTTTCCTAGTCATGCCATTGGCCTTTTTGGTCTCGTAAACATTAAAGCTATGGCTAAAGATAATGTCTCCAGTAAAAAGGTTTACAGTTAACAGAAAAAGATTAAAAAAGAAAACATGACAAGTGATTGTTAGGATAGTTCAGTATTAAAAAATGGAAAATAATAAAATAGGAATAAAGTATACCAATAAATTCAGACATCACTTGTGAAATTTACCGAAGATTTCTTGTATAGTTGTTTTAAGAAGGCATGTATACACAGCAATTTTTATGGGTGATTTACTTTCTCATTAATGTATTTAATATCCTCTGATATTTATTACTGCAGAGGAAATTACTCTAAAAACTTAAAGCTCTAGACATTTTTATCCTATTGTACTTAAGTTGTGGCCAAGGTCTCATGAAGCTACAGTCAAAAGTGTCAGTCAAAGCTGCGGTCATCGCAAGGCTGGACTAGGGCTGAAGGATCCATTCATTTCTGTGGTTGTTGGCAGACTTCAGCGCCTTGTGGTTTGTTGTCTAGCAGCTTCCCTCAGGTCCTCACTATGTGGGCCTCTTCTCTAAGCAGCTCATAACAACAGGTTTGTCCTCAAAGATAGAAATCACAGGGCCATTTTTGTGAGAAGTCTTCAAAGTTGTTCACTGTCACTTTTACTTTATTCTGTTAGAAACAAGTCACTGTGTCCAGCTCACACTCAAAAAAATGAGTAGAGAATTTATAGACTTAATTGTAAAATTATATTTCCTAATGATTTCTCATCTGCAATAAATGTCCTTTTTGGGGCTGGGATGTGGCTCAAGCGGTAGCACGCTCGCCTGGCATGGGTGCAGCCTGGGTTCGATCCTCAGCACCACATACCAACAAAGATGTTGTGTCTGCCGAAAACTAAAAAAAAAAAATAGAATATTAAAATTCTCTCTCTCTCTCTGTCTCTCTCTCTCCCTCTCTCTTTTAATAAATAATTAAATAAATAAATAAATGTCCTTTTTAGGTGCTTGTGTGTGTGTACAGGTGTGTGCCATTACATACCTTGCCATTTTATTTTAGAATTTTGAATCTGTAACTTTTTTTCTTTTTTAAAATTTGTTCTTTATAGATATACATGACAGTAGAGTATTGTTGGACATATTATACAAACATGGTGTATATCTTCTCGTGGTTGTAAATGATGTGGAGTTACAGTGGTTGTATATTCATATATGAACATAGGAAAGTTATGTCTGATTCATTCTACTGTCTTTCCTAGTCCTATCCCCCCTTTCTTCCCTTCATCCCCTTTTGTCTAATCCAATGAACTTCTATTGAATCTGTAACTTCATATGCCTTTGCTCTGGGAGAAATAAAGCTCTGTCACTTTTATTAGGTTTCACAGAAAGAACAAAGAAGCAACAGTGGAAAAATAATGTACAGTTTTGGTTATGTTTTATAGTCCATTCTTGTGCTAAAGAAATATTCTTGTTTGATAACTGTTGGAAACAATGTAGAGATTAGAAGCTTGTCTTTCTTGCTTTTAGTTTCATTGGTGAGGAATCTGTGGCAGCTGGGGAAAAAAGTATCTTGACTGATAACCCCACATGGATCATTGACCCTATTGATGGAACAACTAACTTTGTACATAGGTATGTTTTTAATATTTAATATAATCACTGTTTGTATATTAACTGGGTAGAACTTCAGAATATTCCGAGAAACATACATACTTTAGGGAGTTGTATAATTTGTTTATGCTTCTTTATTCTAAAGAAATGTATATGTTAATAGTAGAGCAAAACATATTATGTGGACTTTTAATCATATATAGAGGAGGTGAAGAAACAGTAAAAATGTTGTAGACTTGTAGAAAGTGCAATGTAGAAAACTAATGAAAGGTCATTAATGGAGTGGTGTCCGTATAGAATGAATTCAGAGGGAAAACAGTGTTAAAGGTGCACAAATTTTAGAATCAACAGACTTGGACTTGAATTCTGGTGCTTTTTAAATTCTTTTTATGACCATAGGCAAGATAGTTAATCTTTGTAGGCCTCAATTTTTAAAAGATTTCTTTTAAATCTTTCGTAAGCCTCAGTTTTTTTAAGATTTCCTTTTTTATATTAATGGCACCTCTTTGTTGTTGGGATTCTCTGAGTAGTTCGTTTATATAAGAATTTAGTAAATATTTTGCAGCTTAGTGTATTATCATTAGAAGAAAGCCTGATGAAATTGGAGAGTTAAAGTTAGTACCTAGTTTGATGGGATTGCACATAAATAAATGTTGTATTTGAACTTGTCTTGTAGCTGCTGTGTCTGTACCACATACAGAATCTTGTTAAATATAAAGTTAAGGTCTAGAATCTAAATGTGATAGAATGTTGTATCTTTAAAATGTGGAAAGCAGCTCATAATATATTGTAACATAAGAAGATAATACAGTGCATACAGTGGGATTCAAGTATTTAATACTTGAGAGTTTTTATTTTCATTAGTTACATTGAACCTATTTTGTTATTAATTCTGATTCTCTTATGAGTAAGATATTAGAACCCCTCTGTTTAAACTGTTAGCAGCCATAAGTAATCACTGTGGCCAGCAGTTTATTTTTTAAATGTGAAGCTCTGAGCTTGGCATTGGATTACAGATAAGCAACAACTATTTATTCTGTAGAATTGGTTTTATCACAGGTTCAGGCTGTGAGGGAAATGAACAAAAAAACGGCTGAGCATACAGCCCCTTCTTTTAACCAGGATCAATTTAAACTTTTTTCCAATTTATTTTTATTTTATGAAAAGAATATTTTACATACTTACTATATTCATGGTATTTGACCTTCATCAAATGGAAAATGGCATGTGTACTTCACACTTTATTCCCTGATTTCTCAACATCTGTTTCTGGAAATGACAATTATCATCAGTTTCTTGTGATTCCTTACAGATATGTTTCATGCCTGCAGAGGCTTTCTGTATGTATGAATATAAATATATGTGTATATATACTGCTTCTTCCCTTCCTCCTATTTACATACTCTATAAACTTAATTGGGGAAAGAGGGATGAGCCTTTGTATGAAAAACTTTGTAAGCACTTATGAAAAAGGTGGATTTTATTAAAATTAAATTCTGTCTTGGTAAATTTGTGGGTTTTGTCTCTTTTTTTAAGATTTCCTTTTGTAGCTGTTTCGATTGGCTTTGTTGTAAATAAAAAGGTATGTTGTTTTAAATGTACCATTTATAAAATGCCTTGCTATCATATTCTGAGGAAGAGTCAATGTATCTCTTTAATAGTTCAGATTTGTCTCTAGATTCAGTTTATATAATTGTTTAACTTTGAATGTAAACTATAGAACTATTAAAATTTTCATAATCCATTTCCAGTGAAGAAAATTTAATGTTTTCTGAGAAGCAGGAATTGTAAGGAGAAAATGGACACAAGTAAATGAAATTTAATTTAGTATCTAATCACCATTATATATGTGATAGAATCAGATAATGATAGCAGTTGATGTGATTTTAAATGCTGCCTGGAAGAGGTGAGGTTTGGGAGCTAGGAATACTTTAGTAGGTACTAGTGAATAGAGATATTCAGAGTCTAGAAAGGAGCAAGAGCCAAAGCATGGTTGGAAAATGTGGACCTAAACATCATTGAATACCTACATCCAGAACTCAATTGAGTAAAATCCATAGCTATAGCCTTTCTTTGCTGATTGACTCCTTGACTATCCAAACAGTAAAGGATATGTACTGACATCTATCTTCAAGGAGCTTGTATATTATATCAGCATGTATAAAACAGTTAAGAAATTTCTGAAAATAAAAACACAAATTAGTTGAAATCTTAGCTACAGGATTATATAAAAAGTGAGAAAATCCCAAAGGAACTATTTGAGCATTGAGCATATAATTAGCTTTGGGGCTATATGCTGACCCTGCTATTGAACTCATACTTCAGGGCAGTGGGACACACAAGAAGATATGAACAGTTCTGCATGTTGTGGGTTGGGGAAATATTTCTACCAGAAGGGGTCTTAGAAGTTAGTTATGTGAGTTGCTACTTAGAAAATTAAAAATTTGCCAAACAAAAAAGAAAAGGAGAGCATTTCAATCAGAAACAATAGTTTGGAGAGGTTGAAGAAGCGATTTTTAAGTGATTTTTTGACCCCTGAGGTTTCTGTAAGACAAGGTGTGAAAGCATATGCTCTCAGTCTGTAGTGATGGGTTGATGGGAACCAAAGTTTTTAGTGGTAGCTGAATTTGTTAATTGAAATGGACCAATCTGTAAGAATATGGAGAGCTAAAAGGGCAAAGGAAGTAATGGAAGTTGGGGAAATACCCTAGGTATAGAAACACCCCAGTTACACAGCTTTTAGGGAGAAGATTATAAAATCATGACACTGGGATGGATTTGTGAGTGAGGTACAAACGAGAGCCAGGAGCACACAGGTGTCAGACTAAGTATCGAAGTATTGATGATAGCTAGCAGCCTCCAATTCTGTAGATACGGCATTTGGTCAGTAAGAATAAGATTAGGGATCAGTTGATTGAGGAGTTTTTCAGAGAATGGACGAGAAAGTAGAAACACAGGAGAGCATTTTCACCCTAGCAAATTGGAAAGAGCTGTCTGCATTTAAAACTAATGGAGAGAGGGAAAGTAGGGGCTCTGTCTAGACTTGGGTGGAAGGAAAGTTGAGGATTTCAGGCTTGATAACCTCTTTTTCTATCTAGACTGGAAATGAGCATTTTAAGTATTCCACAGTTTTGTCATTTGAATACATTGTTACACTATACTACAATTTTTCAGTTCCTTTTTTAGAAAAAAAATACTGATTTAATAAAGAAAAATACTCAGGTTGATAAAGAAAACTGTTTTTTCCTCCACAGATGGAATTTGGAGTTGTGTACAGTTGTGTAGAAGATAAGATGTATACTGGCAGGAAAGGAAAAGGTGCCTTTTGTAATGGCCAAAAACTGCAGGTTTCAAAACAAGAAGGTAGATTTGTCTTCTAATTTTTGGTGGAGTTGATTTTGTGTACTTATATTTTTTAAATGTTTATTTCAGACCTCTATGTAAACTGGTTATATTCTATACATTTTAGGTAATAGTCTAAGAAATTAGAATCTTTACTTATTAAAATCATCACTTGAAGATAAGTATATCAGTATTTTAACATGTAAGGCTTAGAAAGACATTTGATAAAGCTAGGAAGAGGTATTAAAATGTCCTATTATAGTTTGGATTGGAAATGTCACATTTTTGCTAGAATTCTAATATTAAAATCTAGTGATTATCTGAAACATTTCCTTTTCAGATATTACCAAATCACTCTTGGTGACTGAGTTGGGCTCTTCCAGAACACCAGAGACTGTACGAATTATTCTTTCTAACATGGAAAAGCTTTTTTCCATTCCCATTCATGGGTAAGCTCTTTTCATTTTCCAGACAATGTAGTATTTTTTAAAAATAGTGTTTTTCTTTAGAAATTAATAATTTTTATTAAAACACAGAATCAGTACCATAATTCTAATTTTGTAATGCAATTAAAAAATATTGTAGTTCTAGATGAACAGCATGTCTTTATTTTATTTATTTTCCTGTGGTGCTGAGTATCAAGCCCAGTGTCTTACACATGCTAAGCAAGTGCTCTGCCCCTGAGCTACCGCCTCAGTCCTTTGTAATACAATTTTGAAAACTTTTTGTAATATAATTTTGAAATTCTTTTGAATAATTTATACTTAACAAAAAGTAGAAGTAAGATGGTACAAAGAAAAATAGTATACTTTTTACCTAGATTCACCTGTTAACACTTTATCCCACTTGCCTTATATTTTATCCTGAGAGAGAGAGAGAGAGAGAGAGAGAGAGAGTGAGTGTATGTGTGTGTGTGTTTCCTTGAACCAGAGAGAGAGAGAGAGAGAGAGTGTATGTGTGTGTGTGTTTCCTTGAACCATTTCAGAGTAAGTTACATACATTGTGGCTTTTTACTCCTAAATTTTTCAGTTTATTTCCTAGGAATAGGTATAGTTACTTTCTTAATAAATACATTTTTATCTAACTAGGGATCCAACCTAAGGCTGCTTAACCACGTCCCCCCAGCCTTTTTCTCTTTTTCATTTTGAGGCAGGGTCTTGCTAAGTGACTGAGGCTGGTTTTGAACTTGTAATCCTCCTGCCTCAGGCTCCAGATGCTGGGTGTACCACCCACCTGGCATGGAGTTATATTGTTAAATGTCCATAAGGAGAAGGTTTTTTTTTTATCATTTTTAATCTGTAGCTTTATTGAACTGTAATAATTTTTCATTAAAGGACCCACCAGAGTTCTCTGTGCCCTAGTCTGTGATCAATTTTTGTGAAGATTCCATATATACTTTTAAAAAAAGTATATTCTCTATTTTCAGGGTATAATATTTAATGCATAGCCAAAGGTCTATCTTAATCATATTATTTGTATTTTTGTCTATTGTCTTATATTGAGAGTATTGTGTTAAAGCCTTCTGTTAGTGTGTGTCTGTATTTCTCATGACTCTTGTGGCTTTTATATAGTTGGAAGATGTTATTTGATGCCTGTTTGTAATGGTTATACCTTCATTTTATAATTTTAATATTGTAAAGTATTCTTTGTCTTATTTTATGCTTTTTATCTTGAAGGCTACTTTGACATCAGAATTGCCATCCCTTCCTTTTTACTGTTCCCATTTGCCTTTTAAATCTTTGTATACCACCCCCATTTCTTTTTAGCCCTCTTAAATTCCTGCATTTTAAATGTATCTCTTCTATAGAACATAAGTGGAACTTTTATTTATAAGTCAATTTTAAAATCTTTTGAATAGACAAGTGAGTACTATTGGTGAATTGATAGGACTATTTTGTTTGACCTCAATTCTGCTGTATTATCTAATGTTGTAATTACTGTGTATATTATTTATAGTTACAATGTTTATTTGGTAAGTTCTCCTTTTTTTAACTTTCTTTTTGTATTTTTATAAAATTAAATTTTATTCTAGTGAACTTCTTGGGCATTAAAACTTTTTATGGTGACTTAAATATTCTTTTTTTCACTTATCCACTAACTATCTGTATAGGTCCCAAGATTTTTTTACTTCCATTTGTTACATATATAACAGAAATTTACTTTCTTTTCCCATTTTCTCAGTTTCTTCCCATTTTTAAGTTGGAATTCTTTCTACTTTGTCAAAACATCAATTTTATGTATTCTTCAATTCACAGTTCCATAAAACTTGATAAAGTTTTCCAGTCACCTTTTGATTAGATGAAGTGCATCCTGTAGTAGATTCCTTGTATGCAGAGTATTTCCTGAATTTTGACATTTTCCAAACTCTTTTTCTGTGGCCTTGAAACATCAAAGGCAGCTTGGCTGGATATGAAAGAATGAACTAAGTTATTTCTTGAAAATGCTATTTCACTGTTGCCTTGCTTTTTGTATTGTTTTTGAATAAGATGTCAATCTAATTTTCTTGGCTTTTAAGTTATTTCATCTCACTGGAGGCTCTGAGAATCACCCTTTCCAGCCCCTCCCCCCCCAAAAAAAAACCCTTGAAGGCTAATATTTTTGCAAGGATTTATCTTAGAATAGCTCATTCTGGATTAGTTTTCTGTTTCAGTGTGTAGATTTATGTCTATTGCTGGAACATTTTCTTGAGTTAGTTTTAAATGCCATTTCACTTCTGCTGTTCCCATTTTTTTTCTTCTAAGACACCAGTAGGAAGGTTACATCCTTTGTGTCTTACATTTCACCATTTTCTCTATGTCCTTTTTAAATTCTTTCTTATTTTACTTGCTAAGTTTTTCTTTGGGAACCTTGTAATTTATTATTTGATTCTTATATAATGTGGGGTCACCCCACTTTTTTTCTAAGTTTAATCATCTAGATTTTTAAAACAAACTTTTTATTTATTTGGGTCCATTTCTGCTCTTGGTTTCTGTTTTTATGATTTAGCATTTTCTTTCATATTTATAAGTATTTGAGGATATTGATAGGATATTTAATTCAAATTGAATTGACGCTTTAGTTTTCTAACATATTTATTTTTATATTTTTCCTTAATATTTTGGGCAGATCTGGAGGTTTGACGTTCTTTAACTTATTATAGGTTATGACTATATTAAGTAGCATTTCTCTGACATTTATTATAGTTAGTTTGAATGAAAAATCATGTGTAAAAAGCTATGGAATAATAGTATGTTTTCATGATTTTATTTTACTGCCAACTGTTCCTACCTTTCTACCTTTTTTTCCTGAAAATATTGTTACTAACTTTTAAAACTCTTGGCACTAGTCAAAAAGATCATTAAATAAGCCATTATTTTGTAGGTCTAGTTGACTGAGGCACAGTGAGATGAAGTGGTTTTCTGAGATCAGACAGCTAGATGGAGATAAGACTACAACCCTAGCCTCTAGATCTTTCTCTTTCTCCAGAATTCAACTTCTCTTTTAGGAGTCTAGACATTAAAAATATAGTTTGACCATGGTACAAACTGTCATTGTAGGCTGTAAATCTGTGGTCCATAATCGTAATGAGTAAAAGAATCACTGTCATGTAGCTGTAGAACCTCCCAGAATGTTTTCCTTCAGGCAGGAACACTGTGATTTTAAAAATCTATTGCCACAGCTCTTTTGAAGGAAGCACTTTAACATTGGACACTAAAATGTCTATGTTAGCCATAAAAAAGCTGCAAGTGTTTACAACTTTGACCATTTATTTTGCCATTGGCTTAAGTAAAATACAATTTTTACTTTAGGATGTTTTCAGTAGTTTAACCAGGATATATATTGATTTACCAGGGATATTTATTGATTTCTTTATTTTTATATTTTTAATGGTCTGTGGATTCAGCTGATTCTTGAATGTGACTTCAGAATTACTAATACAAAACAAAATGAGACCAAGAGAATCATAATCTGGTTGAATGTCTTAAACAAAAAGAATAGTCTAATAGGTTGCTAACTAGGGAATACTGTTTATGAGAAATAAAGTAAAATGACTGTGGGCCAATTACCTTTATTTAATTTTGAGGAATTCATTTACTGTGTCTCTTGTAGATTGTGTTTGACAATGGTTTAGGGAAAGTTTCTTCATAAACATAACTATTTTTCACTAGACATTTTCTGTGCTAGGCACTCTGTGAATGCTTAACTTAGGGTATTTGTAGTCATTACAGTAGTCATCCAAGGTAAATTGGTATTGTTGTTTTGATATCCAGAAAGCTAAAATCAGACTTTTTCACAATTTTAGTTTTTAAGCAGCTGGGCATGGGAGCAAACTCAAATCTTTTTGATACCATAGACAGTCCTTACTCTTTTGCCAGACTAAGGATTCAGACACAAAATTAAGAATTGGGGTCATGGCCTTATTATTTGATAATCATGTAACCTTTTTGGTAATCCTTTGAAAATATTTGTCCATAGAAGAACATGCTCTTCTTGACTCTTAAACTCCTTGCTTGAGAACTCAAATGTTCACTAGAAGAGGACCCAAGATTTACTAGTAGCCATCATAGCTGTTCTTCTAACTTGGGGTCAGTCCCTTAATGGAATATCAAAGGATTATTTGTAAAAGATCTTGGTGTGTTCTTTTCAGAGCATGAGATAACAATACCTTTACTGTGAATTATATCCCATGTGAGAAGAGGAAAAAACACCTTTATGAATTTTTTTTAATTAATATTTATTTTTTAGTTTTCTGCGGACAAAACATCTTTATTTGTATATGGCACTGAGGATTGAACCTGGGCCGCACACATGCCAGGCGAGCATGCTACCGCTTGAGCCACATCCTCAGCCCTATGAATTTTTTTTAAAGTTTTTTTGAAAGATTTTGGTGGATAGAACTCACTGCCTTATTTCCAGATGTTAAATGATTAAAAAAGAGTTTTCAATAAAAAAATTTGAAAGTAACTTGCAGACATGATGAATCTTTTTCTAAATACACACACACACATATCCATTTCTTTAATAAAAGGAACAGTCTGTAACGGTAAAAATTTTTATAAAAATCAGGGAATTTGGCTGGGTGTGGTAGTACACAACCTGTAATCCCAGTGGTCTAGGAAGGTGAGGTAGGTGAGGATTACAAGTTCAAAACCAGCCTCAGCAACTTATGGAAGACCTAAGCAACTTAGCAAGACCCTGATTCAAAATAAAAAAAATAAAATAAAATGGGCTAGGGATGTGGCTTAGTGCTTAAGCATTCCGGAGTTCAACAGTACACACACACACACACACACACACACACACACACACACACACACACCCGCGCAAAAAAGTCAGTAAATTAACTTTGATACATAACCTAATATAGAAGTCTTATTCAAAATTTGAAACAATTCTAAACCAAGGTCCATTTCAGGAGCATGCATTGCATTCAGTTGTCCTTTCTCCTCAGTTTTCTTTAGTGTAGAACATTTGCATAGTCTTTGTCTTTTTGATCTTGAATATTTTTAGAATTATAGGCCACATGTTTTGTAGTTTGTCTCCTTGCTTGGGGTGGGTTTGATTTCCTCTTGTTTGTTTAGATTCTGCATTTTTTGGCAAGAATGCCACAGAAGTTTTATCTTCTTCTTAAGGCATCTTATCAGGAGGTACATGGTCCTGTTTTCCATTGTAAATGTTAACATTGATACCTTGGAAACTGTAGAACATTATAAAAATGATATTTTTCCTGTTGCAATTATTATGTGTCTTGTGGGAAGATACTTTGATACTACATGAACATCAAACTTGCCCGTTAATTTTGGCATAGTTTTTCTTTTGTTTAAATTAAATTTTTTTTTTTTTTTTGTACTGGGGGCTAAACCCAGTAGCACTATACACTGAGCTATATCTCCAACCCTTTTTATTTTTTGAGACAGGGTTTCACTGAGTTACTCAGGCTGGGCTCAAACTTGTAATCCTCTTGCCTCAGTCTCCTAAGTCATTAGGATTATGGTGTGCTCCACTGCTCCTGGTATTAATTTTAGCTTTTTTTTGATTCTGTCATGACTCAGTTAATACTATAGTGGCTATCAAGTAGTACCAGTACTTATGTCTTAACTTGGTATATTTCTAAGGAAGAGTTACTGTGAGAAGACAAACCCAAAGTAATCTTCCATGACAGACCGAGGTCTCTGCAGATTCCAGACAAGGCTAATATTATTCCTTCAGATACATGTGTGATGCACACCCAGTTGGGATGACCAATAGCATGATGTTTTATATCTCCTAGAGACTATTTACACTATAGAGCGAGTGTGTGTGTGTGTGTGTGTGTGTGTGTGTGTGTGTGTGTGTATGTATGTAAAATAAACTAGTGCCTAGGTTTAGACATGTGAATATACATGAATGCTATCATAGTAGACTTTCAGTGTATTCTTCAGAATTTTTTTTTCTGAAAAAAATCCTTGTTTTTATCTTATTAAATGATAGCTTTGTGAGGATTAGTTTTTTGATTTATATAGTACACCAAGATAATTAAATTTTATGTCTTTTATTTCAAAATCAGATACCACTGTTTTTTACTTGTGTCCTCTAGATGGTTCAGGTTGTCTGTCAACACTTAAAGTAAACTGAAAGTAAGGAGGAATACAGTATTTGAGAGGACGATTTTTCCAATCTTATTTTCAAATGTTAGAATCCGGAGCGTTGGAACGGCAGCTATTAATATGTGCCTTGTGGCAACTGGAGGAGCAGATGCATATTATGAAATGGGTATTCACTGCTGGGATATGGCAGGAGCTGGCATCATTGTTAGTGAAGCTGGTGGAGTGCTAATGGATGTAACAGGTAAAATTGTGGGACAATAAAGCATTTTTCTGTGTACTTTCCTCTCCATATAGGGTTTTTAAAAAATGTTTGATACATGTTAAATTTTCAGCTTTTAAGGCAAAAACAAGCTATACAATTTGATGCAAAGTCTAAAAAATAGTAGATAGAAGCAAGGATTAGAACTAATGGTAATGTTTGACTAACAGTGACAAATGGCTACACCCCTTCAAGTGTATCAGGAACTCTTGAGAGGCTGTAGAGAAAGTCTAGGCAGTCATTGAATTTGAGGCTCTACCAAGAGCTTTCTGAATGGTGACCATGGTGATAGTTGACAGTAGACTTCCTTCATTATCATTTTCTACTTTGGGCCTAAAGAGGTTTAATAATACCTCCTTTGAGCTGAGAGCAAAATGTTTAAGGAATGAATTTGGGTTTAAGGAGTTCCCCAGTGACCTGGGGAAAAAAGCAGCAGAGAAATAGGAAATGAGAAAGGACAATAGTATGAAAATGTATTGAAGTCAGATTCTTTTCCATAGATCTCAAACAATGAAAAGGTAATAAGCATGCACAAAAGAGAAAAAGAGAAGACACTTTTCAGATTGGTATGAATTGAGATCCACCTTTACCCTGGTATTTACTCAGAATGCTTAGAGATTCAGTCATATACTGTTAAGTTTAAACATTATAATTATCTAACAGTAGTTTTTTTAAGAAAACTGAACATATTAAAATGTTAAGGTTGTTCATGATACATATAACTATACTTGTTTTTTTCTGAATTATTTTTATACAGGATATAACTGTTTTCTCAATCTGATTTTAGGTGGACCATTTGATTTGATGTCACGAAGAATAATTGCTGCAAATAGTAAAGCATTAGCAGAAAGGATAGCCAAAGAAATTCAGATAATACCTTTACAAAGAGATGATGAAGATTGATTACAATAGCCTTGTATTCAGTCACAATTGCTTTCTGCAGATTTGCTGATGCACTGATGGATATCTGTTTCGGATATAGGAGGATATGATTGATTAAATTGTCTTTGATGTCCTGATTTAAAAATGGAAACTTTTTCCATAGAATAAGTATGCAAAAATAGATGTAATATTTGTTTCATTGTTTTGAACAATTTTGCCTGTAAGAATATACTTTGGGAAAAATAAACAGGATTTTAGTTCATGAACTATCAATTAAAATTGTCGATTAGTAGTTTGTTTCTAACTATGATCCTCTTGTTACTTAGACTGACCTCAAACTTGCAATCCTCCTGCCTCACCTTTCTTAGTCACTGGGATTACAGGTGTGTGCCATCATGCCTAATTTGAATTACTATTTGTATATATAAACACTCAATTTAAAAGTTACCTTTTTGGAAAAAATTCTGTTTGTTTCAAAAGCCATACCTTAAGAATATAACAACTACTTAGATTAGGTTTTGTTTCTTTCTTGGCAGAAAACCTTGTTTGTTTTATCATCACTGTACCTGTAGTACTTAGCAAAGTACCGGTCAAATATTAGCATATCCAAAATAAACATTGTATAAAGTATATTTAACTTTTTTGGTTGGTACTGGGGAATTAATCCAGGGATGTTTTACCTCTGAGCTTTATACCCTGTCCTTTTTACTTTTTATTTTGAGATGGGGTCTCATTATGTTGGTGAGGGTCTTACTAAGATGCTGAGGCTGGCCTCAAATTTGTGATCATCCTGCCTTAGCCTCCCAAGTCACAGGAATTTACAGTAGTGCTCCACCATGGCCAGCAAGAATGAATGTTTTCAAGTAGCATTTCCTTGTTATAATAAGATACATAAGTAATGAGCTCATGTTTATTTTTGCTTCAAGTTGGAGTAAAAATTATTATCCTGTTTTATATTTCGTATTACTACATCATTTCATTTTGCTATACCGTCAGATAGTGTTGCTTATTGTGGGCATTTCTGCAACTAATGTATTTTCCAAAGCACATGTTATATCATATGCTTGGATTCCCTGTATGTATTCTCTGTGAAAGAGACAAGAAACTTTAGAAAGCTCTCATCAGGATTCCAAGTAGATATAGTATAACATTTTACTATATTTAATATTCTTATAAAGATGTAGACACCGACTTGATTGTGCCAACAAATACACTGTTGATACTTAATTATTTGATTCCTTCCCAAACTATATTTAATTTCATTGCTTCTAAATATTTAATAGCCTTTAGCCTATCAAACTCAACAAGAAAATTATATTGGTTCATAAACATATTTAAAGGATTAATTTATTGTTTAGTCTTTTCCCTTGGCATTTAACAGATTGTTATGTTTTGTTACAGGTGCATATGAACCTTGTAATTGATAAAATGAAAAGTGCTTGTATACAATTTTCAAGATAGGGTCTAGTCTCATTGTTGGGTACATATGATACATTAAATCTATATGCTACTAACATTTGGGTATTATAATTACTGTATTTGTACTGTTAGTTACATGCACTTAAAACATCTCATACTATGTAATTCTGAGACAGGTTGTTTTTTCAATTAAGTTTATTTTAATTAAAATGACTTATGAATAAAACTTTAAAGATGTAGCTGATATTAACATTATTAAAGTTTATAGTTTAAACTAATTTTAGGAGTTCTGTGGTAAATTACAATTATTTGAAATTTGCCATTATGATTGAATGTATACTCTTAGTGACTAGACGTTTTTAGGTATTGAAAATGGATTGTTTGCAAGTGGATTATCCAATAATAATTCGAAGATGTTTTTGAGTAGCAGAACTTCTTTGATGGACCTGACATCTATGTTACAAGCAGGGTATATTACCTATCTGTATTTTTATCTTCCAATGCATCCATTAACTTTTTTAGGTACTTTGTTCTTATTCATTGACTGAATATGTTATTCTTCATAGTATTTTTTTATAATATAAATATTTTGTCCTCTGCATTTTCCTTTTCCAATTACTCATTTTCAGATGTTTTTAATGTATGTTTCTTTTCTTGGTCTCTTACCTTTTGGGGAGTGGGGGAGGGATACCACAATTGAACTCAGGGGCACTCGACCACTGAGCCATGTCCCAACTTTATTTTGTGTTTTATTTAGAGACGGGGTCTCGCTGAGTTGCTTAGCACCTCTCTAAATTGCTGAGTCTGGCTTTGAACTCACAATCCTCCTGCCTCAGCCTCCCAAGCTGCTGGGATTACCACGCTTGGCAGTCTCTTACATTTTTGAGCATCTTCAACTTTCTGATGATGATCCCTTGTCTTGAAATATATATTCAAATGAGTGGAATGCATGTAAGGTTTTATTTATGAGATCTATAGCCTTAAGTTCAAGGCGGGGAAACTAAGTAAAATTGATTGGTAGAAATAAAATGACTATATAGTCATTTTTAGTCTATGTAACTGGAAAATCCAAAAGAATCTACAAGCAATCTCTTAGAATAAGTAATGTCAATATAGATAAGGTTACTACAACTGCATTTGTGTAACTGGCAAAACATAAGAGAATTTAATGTAGACACCATTTACAGTAATATAAAAAGAAGCCATCAGATACTTAGCAGTGGTTCACATTCAGCTCTGCACAGAAAAACTAGCAAACATTACTGAGAAGAAAAATTTAAAGATCTTACTATTAGTAAAAATAATATGTTTATGGTTTGAAAAACTCCACATTGCTCAAATATCAATTCTTGCTAAATTGATCTAAAGATTCAGTACATTCCCAGTCAAATTCTCAATAATATTTGAGGGAGTTAGGTAAGTTAGGCATCATTCAGTCACTAAAACAAAATAATCTGAGATAATTAGCATCAAAAGAAAAGGTTAATTTTGGCTCACAGTTTTATACGTTCAATCTATGAATGGTTGTCCCCACTGCTTTGGGCCTGTGGCAAAGCAGCACATCGGGGAAAAGGATATGTTGGAGCAAAACTGCTCACCTCTGTGGCCAGGAAAAAAAGGAAAGGGGAGAGTCCAGGCTCCCAAAATCCCCTTTGAGAACACATCTCCAGTGGTAGAAAGACCTTCCACTAGGCCTCACCTCTTGAAGATTCCTCCACTTCCCAATAATGCCATCCTGAGGACCAAGTGTCTAACATGGGCCTTTGGGAGATAGTCAACATTCAAACTAGCAGGAGATAAAATGAGACAGTTAGGGCTCGGTTGTGGCTTTAGAGGGAATGCGCTTGCCTGGCATGCGTGGGGCACTGGGTTCGATCTTCAGCACCACATAAAAATAAAATAAAGGTATTGTGTCTACCTACAACTAAAAAAAAAGTAAATACTTTTAAAAAAAATGAGAAGGTTAACAATTAATGGAAATGTGGAGAGCCAGAACAGATATAACTGAAAGCAAAAGAGCAAAGTGAGAAGACTGTTGCATCTTATACAAAACACCATTTCATTCTAGTAATGTTATGACTGCTGTTTTTATGTTTGCTTTTCAAGACACAGAACTCTAATAGTGACACTAGCACAAATCTAGATAAGCATGTCAATAAAATTCACAGCCACCTAGTTTATAAAAAGTGGCCGCACAGTGCAGTAAAGAAAAGGCTGGTATTTTCAATACATGGTGTGGATGTCCATATTATAGGAGGAAAAATATTGATCCTACTGCACCATGTATGCACATCAATTCTAGATGGATCATAAAACCTAAATATCAAAGAGGGACAAAGCCAGGTACAGTAGTGTGTGCCTGTAATCTCAGCTTTGCAAGTTTGAAGCCAGCCTGGACAACTTGGTGACACACTGTCTCAAAATATTAAAAAGGCTGGGGATGTAGCTTAGAGGTACAATGCTTGCATACTGTGCCCAAGGCCCAGGGTTCAATCCCCAGTGCCAGTTAAAGGTAAAAACAATATTTCTAAAAATATTTTCATTTCCAAAATATTTATTTTTTCCCAAAAGGACTCCTAAAGCTTCCTGAACTTGGTAGGCAAAGAATTGGTAAACAGTAAACACAAAAACATGAAAGGAGGATTAAGATGGGCATGGCGATCCATACCTGTAAGCCCAGTGATTCAGGGCTTAGCAAGAGGATCTGAAGTTTGGGGCCAGCCTTGGCAATTTAGGGATACTGAAAAAAGGAGGGAGAGAAGGAGGATTGATGATTTGAGCTACATTAATAATTCTGTCATCAAAATAACACCATTTAGAGATTCAGAAGCATAACCCACAGAGTTTGCAATATAGAGACAAACTACTGAATGTATGACCTCCACATATTAACAAAGATAATCCAATTCCAAAGCAAATATGTATTTGATACATATACATACATATAGAGTATGTATTCATACTCTATAAAACAATATATTAAAATATTATCAGTCATAAAATCAAAATAAAGTTGTATGACTGCATACACAAGAATGGCTAAACTAGACAAAATCCCAGCAGCAGCACATAACCCCCTGATGACATCAAAATCAAGGCGCTTTACCACATGAATAGAGGTGATCTTGCCCCATGATGCAGTATCTTCACTTCTTGGTACATACCTAACGTATGCATACTTTTGTCCACCAACTATATTCATGCAGCATTATTTGTAATGGCCCCAAACAGAAAACAATCCAAAAGTTCATCAACAACAAAATGGATTTAAAAGGGTGTGGAATAGTCACATAATGAATGCTATGCAGCATTGGAAGATGATGACAGCTACACAATAATGTGAATGAATTCCAATCTAGCTCAACCTCTTTCTCCAATGGTTCTACTCTTTTTGAAGTCACCAGTGATGTCTTTGTTTACAGAAGCTAAATTTTTTCTGCCTTTAATTTAATTGACCTGCAGTTTTCCCCATTTGCTTGTCTCTGTATTTTTTATTCTTTTTTAAAAAATGTATTTTAATTTATTATATATGATGGCAGAATTCAATTCACTTCATATTACACAAATGAGCACATTTTTTTCATGTCTCTGTTGTACACAAAGTAGAGTCACACCATTCATGTTTTCATACACGTACTTAGGGTAATGATGTCCCTCTCATTACACTGTCTTTCCTACCCCATGACCTCTCTCTTCCCCTCCCTCCCCTTTTCCCTATCTAAAGTTCTTCTATTCCTCCCATGCTCCCCACCCCCATCCCCATTATGAATCAGCATTCATATTATCAGAGAAAACATCAGCATTTGGTTTTTTGGGATTGGCTTACTTCACTTAGCATGACATTCTCCAACTCCATCCATTTACCTGAAAATGTCATGATTTTATTCTCTATTATTGCTGAGTATGTATGTATATATGTATGTATGTATATGTGTGTGTGTGTATATATATATATACATATATATATATATACACATACATACATACATACATATATATCACATTTTCTTTATCCATTCATCTACTGAAGGGTATCTAGGTTGGTTCCACAATTTAGCTATTATGCATTGTGCTGCTATAAACATTGATATGGCTGTGTCCTTGTAGTATGCTGTTTTTAAATCTTTGGGGTATAAACCGAGGAGTGGGATAGCTGGGTCAAATGGTGGTTCCAGTCCCAGTTTTCCAAGGAATCTCCATACTGCTTTCCAGATTGGTTGAACCAGTCTGCAGTCCCACCAGCAATGTAGGAGTGTACCTTTTCCCCCACATCCTCACCAACACTTATTGTTGTTTGTATTCTTGATAGCTGCCATTCTAACTGGAGTGAGATGAAATCTTAGAGTAGTTTTGATTTGCATTTCTCTAATTGCTGGCGATGATCAACATTTTTTCATATATTTGTTGATTATATATCATGTTCTGAGAAGTGTCTGTTCAGTTCTTTGGCTCATTTATTGATTGGGTTATTTTTTTTTTGATGTTTTTACTTGTTTAAAAGGAATAAAAATATGCCACAGAAAATGCCAGGTACTGTATTCTAATTTCTGATCAGTCTGTGTAACAAGCTCATATCCTTTAAAGTTTATTTTTTTAGATAGCTCATAAAATATTTTCCTTAATAATAATTATTGCTATTCAATAATGTTTATCATTTATTGAGTACAATGTGCCGCTTATGCTAAGCACTTGATATTCATTATCATATTTAATTCTCACATAAATCCCTAGAGAAGTTGTCTTCCTCATTTTACTGAGGCACACGAGTGTTATATAATTAGCCCCATTTCCCTGCATGAGGTAATATGCTAAGTGATGAACTCCCGTAGAGATAAAGCTCAGTAGAGTCCACAGTCTGAATCCACTACTCAGTGGCCCTCACCCTGGCTGCACATTAGAATTGCCTGGGAGCTTTTAAAACATGCCATTGATGGGGTCCCATCTGAGCCAATCTGATTTCCTAGGTCTGGAGTATGGCCCAACTCTCTCTATATTTCTAAGTTTCTCAGAAGTTTTATCATTACTGTGATCAAAAGACCTGACAAAGACAATTTTAGAGGAGAAAAAGTTTATTTAGAGTTCACTGTTTTAGAGTCTCAGTCCATAGATAGCCAACTCCATAGCTTTGGGTCCAAGATGAGGCAGACTATCATGGCAGAAGGGCATGATGGAAGAAAGCAGCTCAGAGCATGGCAACAAAGAAGCAGGAGAGCTCTGCTCAGTAATGACAAAAATATAAACCCCAAAGACTGCCCCCAGTGACTCAGTCCCTCCAGCCACTTCCCACCTCTCTACACTTGCTGCCCCATTTGTTCATATCAGTGGATCAATCCACTGATTAAAGTTCTCACAACTCAATTAGTTCATTTCTAAACTTTCTTGCATTATCTTACATATGCGTTTTTTGAGGGACCTTAT